ACAGTCACAAGACAGGGTGTCTAAAAGCCAGACATGAAAGTGTGCATATTGTATGATTTTGTCTCTGTTAAACACTAGAATGAGTTAACACAAACTATGGTAAGAACATGTTAGGACAGAGAGGAAAATTCGTTCTGTGATGGAAAATTTGTGTAATTTGGTGAGTTGTCATGTGGATAAATACATTTGTCAAATCTGTGCAAAGTACATTCAAGATATGTGCTTTTCATATTGGTTTTTTTAAATATTTTTTTTCAGTTGTAGATGGACACAGTATCTTTATTTTTATTTATTTATTTTATGTGGTGTTGAGGATTGAACCCAGGACCTCACGTGTGCGAGGCGAGAGATCTACCACTGACCTCCAACCTCGGTCCTCATATATTTTTTAATAAAAATTTCCAGTTAAAAACTTAAAGTGCCTCTGCTTTAAGTTTAATTAATTTTCAGGGACTTTGCTTTTATCCAGATACCTCTGCTCTTTCAATTTTGCCTCTCTCTCCCTCCCTTAGGATCTTCTTTTCCCTGTTTATAAATATAGAGAAACATCTTCTTCCTTTAAATTTCTTACCATATGACCCAGCCATCATCAAGAGACACATTTTTATTCACATTTTGGCAAACTTTTTAAGACAACAAAATCAACTTGGTTGGCTGCAGACCTTCTAGTCCCAATACAGTGCACTGCCACCAGGTTTGATTCCCTGTGTTCTACCAAGTCCCAACACTGGATGTAGCCTGCACTGACAGCTACACCTCCACCCCCTCCATAATCCTTCTTTAAATTCTCTCTCTTGGCTTGGTGGTTATTCCCGAGGTTTTGTTCTGGAAACTTTCTCTTAATGCATAACAGCTAATACTTGTGTTCCCCAGATCCTGCCCTTGTCCCTCTTAGGGACATAGAGAGAAAACATACTCCAACATTTAACTATCTGGATTATCTGGCCGCCTTTTGCCTGAAATCTAGATTGCAGATTTGTAAGGCGGTGTTCTTCTCGCTGGTCCCACGTGGAGCTCAGAATCACGACCTGTGCTGAGCTGGCCTGGCCTTGCCACTGGCCTGTCTCTTCCATCAGCACCACTGTCCTTCTTGCCACGGTTCCAGCAGCTCCAGACCACGTGAAAAACCAGCGGCAAGATCAAAACCCCCTCTTGGTCGGCGCTGATCCCCTCTCCCACACTCGCCGAGACATGGGCTGTCTGCCACCTTTACTGCTCTTGGGGAAATCTTATTAGAACAACTTATTGCCCTCCATCCTTGACTCTGCCTGGTCCTGACCCTCATCTTCTCTCGCTCAGATTTCAGCAAGTGCCTCTGAGTCGTCCTGTCCTCTCTCTTCTTATTCCCACCAGGCTATCTTCTGCCTCACCAACAGAGTCATCTTCTTTCTGCTGAAGATCCTGTTGTGATTTCCCTCCTGGGTCTTTGAGTGGCTGTTTCACTACCCTGCCTACTTCACATGCCAAGTAGGGTTCATCACATCTGCCCTCACATACATGAGCACATCCCACCCTAAGCCAGCTCTTCCTTCTTTGTCTACAGAACCCAATTGTTTTATTTTGCTTTGGGGCGCTGTGAGTGAACCCAGCTAGGCATGTTCTAAAGCAATGAGCCACACCCAGCCTCCAGAATCCCATGTTCAGGAGAAGGGCCAAGGGACCCCCTTAGCTCGGGAGAGCTGGGCTGAACTCTTTGCTCAGGGTTCAGCATGTGCTCCTCTTTGGTTGTGCAGAGCATTTGGGAAACCTCTCAGGAGCTCGGGCAGAGCTTTTCCTCTCTGACTAAAGCTGCATCTCCTTTCATTCAGCTTTTGAGTACTGTGGCTTGAGAACACAAGCATGTGTTGATCCTGCAGCCCAGCCGCAGCCACACTGCAGCCACAGGAAGAACACTTGGGTGTACAAAGATGCCATCTCCATGCCCCAATGTAGCTGAATCCCACTAGGGACATGTCAGCTCTAAGATAGTTTTTATGTGAGAAAAGACACCTCTTATTTTGAAACTCCCATTAGTCAAACAAATGCCTTCCTGAGCAACCTCTGTCTCCTAGATGTGACCTCTAATACCCCCTCCTCCACATTCCACCACCAAGTCTCACCAAAGTGTCACTGTGTCTAGGGCACAGTGTGTCCCATTTTGCAAAATTTGAAATTATCACACTGGACTCTCTTAGCTTGGAATATCCTTCTCTATCGTACTCATCCTTGAATATGTCCTTCAAAAGGCTCCCTCCAGAAATCCTTTCACCTAACGCTGGCCAGTGAGCTCCACATGTTTCACTAACCCTTTATTACATACATGGGTGTGTGTATGTACACAAACGCATAACATGTACGTATTTATTCATTCTGGATTTTTGTCCTCCTTTTATTCATTAATTATTGTTACTTTATTATTTATTTGTTACCCAAAGATTCCTTATGTTGTCCCCAAGGACTGCATCTTATTTATTCATAGAGCTGGGGTGGTCATCCATAATTGTGGAGTACAGAATAGGGCAAGGAGGGTGAAGCAAACCCTCCTCTGTGTAGGCATTTCTACCAGTCTCTCCATTTGCTCTTGAAAAACACAGTGGCATGCTCTCTGCCTAGGCAAGCAGTGGACATGCCTTTGCCAGCAATGGTTTTGATGGTCTTAGGCAACTTTATAACTTATCCTGACCAGTACCGAGTTGTATCTGCAGATCCATTGCAAGTTGTGAGGGGATTTATTTCATATCTATGGATTTTGCACATATTGTCATTTATTTTGTGTTTGGTTTCCAGATGAAGAAATCATTGATGCTCTCAAAAATTTCCATGCTAGGCATACCTCCAGGTTCTGAGTGATTAAGCACACGGAGTGCTTTCTCTGCATTGATTTTGTATTCTAATAAGGAGTATGTCCGATACAAACAGCTGCAATTAACTAAGTGCTAATATACGGGGTGGTCAGGTAGCAAACATTTTTGTCATCTTTTTCTAGAGTATATTCCATTAAAGAAATTTGTCTTCAGGATACAAAACTACCAAATGTCTGTTGAGCATGTGACACACTAAAATAATTCTAAAAATAATACTTTCTTAAATTGAGGGTACCAATATTTTATAGATGATCACAAGATTTTTTAAAAAATTACCTGTCCTCAGGACTGTGACGATGGCTAAGGAAAGAGCTACCATGCTTACATCTGCTCCAGAGCAAAACAAGAAAGTTGGACTGATGCCTGAAGGATTCCATGTCCCCCACCACTGACAAACAATTGGGTGGATTTCATAAGTTAAATTATTCCTGAAAATTACAACACATTTCTTGAATGTATTGTGGGAAAAATTAAGAGTGCAGGAGCCACAGTAGGTTTTCAGCAAGTCATTGTTGTCTTCCCAGATCACTTCAACATGTGATGTAATTTACCATTCTTCTATCTTCATAATCTGGTTTCTTCTTCTGATTTCTCCTAGCATGTTCTATCTCCTTCCAAAGACTTATGTGTTCTACTGGAAAAATTATAGCCCAAACCTCTCCGAAAATTGACATAGTCACTAAAACAGAAATACGGTTCTCATCTATCAAACATCTGCACACTAAGCACTGTAACGTTTGTGTACATCTATGTGTGTCCCTCTGGGACGGAGTGTGACATCCCTTGTCCTGCAGAACTCCCTTGCTGAAGGCTTCTTGGGGACCACCTCACCTCCTCAGGAACAGAGGATAAGTAGAAAAGAACCAGCAAGTGGCCAGGCAAGGTACCACAGGAAAGCAACACTTCCACCAAGCAGTGCTCACAGAAGCCACAGGAAGACAACACAAGATGAGCACAAGTTAGCAGAGTTCATAAGACATGGGGGACAGCAAGCCCTGTGGTCCAAAGCACACCAAAGCACACAGGTGGCAGGGAACACTGAAGAGCTGATGTCGCTGGAAACTCAGGAAATTTCAAGAAAATAACATTATTAACAAATACTACGCGGTGCTTATTATGGGCTAGGAAATACTATAAGCATTTTACATTTTAATGTCTGCTGTCACTCTATGAAGAAGATAGGCGTTCTAATTAAACACGTTGACAGAGATGAAACAGAGCATAGTTCAATTACTTACCAAAGCAGAAACCTAAGATTCTGATTCTGGTAGCCTGAATTCATAGCTGTACTTTAATTCATTACACTATTCTCTAGAGGAGAGAAAAAGATCTATATTTAAGCCAAGATTTATGAATAATATAAGGTAAAGAAAAAATTTAACTATGGGGAACCAAGGAAAAATAGCATATAAATAATTGATATTTCTGAGGGAAAAAATAATGGCTACAACATTTATAGATATTATTTAAGAAAACTTTTCAAAAGTAGGAGCAACTTGACTCTATGTACTAAATACATATTTGTATAAAGTTATCCTTAAAGATTTATCTGTAGCTTCTAGATTATGTTTAACATGAGAGGATAACATAAATTTATTTAGTAAACACTTTATATATGACAAAAAATTGAAGCAATATTCAAATCTGAGGCTTATCTCAGGGGAATTAAAAATCTTCAGGATAAGTAGGCAGAAAATTAAGCCATCCATAGACAGGATGACCCAGGCTGAACAAGGAGTTCTCTTCTGCAATATTTAGTGATAAAAGATAGTGGAACTATGCTTATTATTTCTTCAAGAAAATAAACTAAAAATAGAAAAGACAGTAGAATAAATCAGACATAACTTTCCTATGTTTATAGATGAATATATGACCAGTGTAAGCCCACATTATGTACAACCACAAGAATGGGAAGTTATACTCCATGTATGTATTATATGTCAAAATGCGCTCTACTGTCACGTATATCTAAAAAGAATTATTAAAACTTAAAAATATAACTAGAGATTTTTTCTAAGGCAAATTCCACTTTAAATAGAAGGGCAAGAGATAAGTTATTTTGGGTTGCAGACATGAAGACAAGAAATATATTTCCCATGAGTAGTGTATTTTCCATGAGTGAAGACCAGAGGGCAAAGCTTAAATGACCAGAAATACATGGAGAAACTGGCAAAAGATGTGAGAGTGCCTTTTCTTCTGAATGTAGGTTAGGATCCCACATCATATTTTTTGCATAAATTCACCCATAAAGCTTTGTCTGCAACTTCCAGGATATGTCTTATGTAGAAGGATGAATTAGATCTTACTTGGTAAACACGTACTCATGGTTCAACAGAACTCGGTGCTCTTCCCTCCCGGTGGCACTTGTACTTCCAAGCTCCAATGGATTAGCCAGTGGGCTTGCTCTGTTTAGTGCCCCCTGAGCAGTAGTGAAAAGGTGACTTCCAGAAGGTCTAGAGTCAAAGCCAGGCTTTCGCTCCTGTTTCCTCAGACACCAGCTCAAGAAGGAAGGGCAGCCAGCAAGGATGAGCGCCTGTGGTTTCCAGTTGGAAAATCTCAGCGTAGTTTACCAGGAATTGCTTTAGTTAGTATGTATATCATTAGGCCAATCCAGACAGCAGCTTATGCATGAAGAAAGGTGAGTTCCGAATCTTAGCTTTATACATTTTTCCCTGTTTACAGATTTTTTGAATTTCTTACTTCATGATTCTATGTTTTACATTTGTAATTATGTTAATATAATCTACCCAAAGCATAAAATTCAGCTTTTGTAGAAGTGTGTCTGTTTTTTACTCATATTCAATTAGTTTATACTGTTTAATTAAATTGTCTAATTATACTAACAAATATTAACTTATTTTAATAATGAACACCACCCACTCTTGGTAAACAGATAGTGGGGAGGGAGGGAGGGTTTTCCAGAGAGAAATATACCAAGAGCAAGTTATCTGCAGTTGTAGATGCCAGTGTGTTTCATAAAAGGAAGGAGAAGTTTGTGGGTTAAATGGAAGTTGGTTAAGACGATTCCAATTATAAATATTCACTCAACAACATATCTTGCAGCCATTTTGGCATTAGATACATTTTGTGCATCTATCTACAAGTGTGTACATACATTAACACTGGTTTTTGTGTGTATATGTGCACATAAAAATGTCTATAAGCTGTTAATATTTCCTTTACAGGAAACCAATCAGGAGATATATATATATATATATATATATATATATACACACATATACACACACACACACATATATACACACATATATATGTATGTGTGTGTAGTTAATATATATAACATATGTAACATGTATAAATATATATAACATATATATGTATGTATATGATTTAATGCACATATATGCATATGTATATTTAATAAACATATATGTATATACTTAATGTTTAAAATAGATTTAAAATGTTTTAAAAATTTACTTGTTCTCCAAATTTTATGTTTTTAAGCAAAAATTTAAAAATAAATATTTTCAACTATAGCCAGGCAGTCATGGGAAATGCCATTCATTATCACGTTACCTAACACAGCCATCTGCAAGTTCATAGGTTCACAACAGCAGCTTTGGTACACACAGTTAAATATTAAAACATCAGCTGTGCTGTGCTCTGGCAAGGACCAATGTGTCCTGACCATAGGAGATGATTGTTGAGTGCATAGTTCTTTATTTCTCTGGTCAAAAATAATATCATTGATGAAGCAAGGGATGTCTTTAGCAGAGTAGAAAGCAATTTTCATCACAATCCCTGAATTCACTTCTACTGAATGAAAGTAAGTCTGTTGTTTGTTGTTTTGAGGTGGGAGTGGAGGACCTGGAGCTCTAAGGAGAACAGACCTATGCTGGGGCAGCAGCTTTGCCTGGGCAGATGCTGGACGGGATAATGCCAAGGGCCTCCTTTGGTAGGAGCGCACAGTAGCATTCAAGTCTAGGGTAGTTGCTCTCCGCCTGTTCAGTCTGAATTCAGTTACAGGGCTGCCTTCCCAGCCCTTCTCAGACCTCTCCCTTCCTTTCCTTGACTACAAACCCTGATAGCTGCACTGAAAAATTAATCCAACTCTCTGTTAACTAGGGCTAACAGTAGTCTTGTTTGTACCACTTCATCCTTTTAGTGATCGGAGCTAAACATCTTCAGGAAGGGGTTTTAATTAACCTAAGAATGGCTTGGAAATTATATTTCCTTATTGTGTTATGTGCTTTCTACACAGTGTGATTTTTTTTTTACTTTAAACATATTTTAGGTGCAATGTTTTTCTCATTACTCTCAATAACAAATTTCTAATCCGGTATCACCTGATTTCTGGGCACTTCAGCAAGAAGAATTTCTGCAGTCTAAAAATAAATGCATCTAATTGACCTTTTCTCATTAGAACAGAATATTAAAAATAATGATAAAAGACAGATTTTTAAAGGTCTACCTAAAATTAATTCTTTATGCAAGTGCTTGTTTTGTATAAATTTGGTCAGATGGTTTAAGAGATCGTATCCTTTACTCAGGGCCTCTGAATTAGCCAGAATGGTTCTCTTCATTTATTAGTATTCAAAACTGACATTTGGGGGCTGGACACTTACAAAGAATTACCATTAGCCTAGATTTTACATCCTTTCTCTGCCAATTAAACTCAGATTAAAAAAAGAAAATAGCAAACGGGGGGCGGGGGAAACAGGGTAAAATTTTGAGTAGTTGATACTAAGTCGGGTTCTCTCTGGTGAGCTTGTGAGTGCTGTTTCAGTAAAGTGAAGGTCAGAGAATACATAGTCATCCCCTTCCTTTAAATATATTGGACTTGAATTTGCAAAACTATTTTAGGAATTCTTATTTACGTCACTCTGGGAAGACTTATACTTTTTGCATGTTGATAAAATATGGTGAATTGTCTGGGATGCATCTCCTTTATTCTAACTCTATTATTTGTGACTGTGCCACATTCATGATTTCTGTGAATAATGTTCTTTGTGCAAGATGACGTGACATAGTAAACTCTGGGCTGGGATTCAGAATACTTGGGTTTGGGGACCCTCACTTACATGCATTTTTAATGTGATTATATTTAATGTGATTATATGCCTTTTCTAAATTCCAGGTTTTTGATCTGCATAACTGGAATGGTGCATTTCATTTGTGTTTTCTTAAGAGCACAGACTCCCCCACACACAAAGACAAAGCAGTATCATGCTGTTTTAAGGGTAAAATACAGTTCTGGAAACATGCTAGACCCAAGAGAAAGGGAATCTTTGCTGTAAGATCCTCTTTTCTCTTGTGACATCCCAGATGTACATTCTCTTGAAGGTGCACTAGCTGAGTGTAGGAATTTGCTGTCTGGCTTCTTCTGAGACCATATCTCCTCCAGGTTTCCCTTAGGTCCATGTCCTACTAATCCAGGAGCCTGGGCATACGACCTTACAGAAAAAGAGACTTTGCATACATGACCAAGGCTGTGGACCTGAAGTAGGTAGAGCTCCTGAATATTTTGGTTATTCTAATCATGTGAGCCATTACAAGAGGAGAGCATTCACCAGCTAGAAGCAAAGAAGTGTAGTTTCGGGGGCAGTCATAGGACCCCAGGCAGGAGCAGGACCTGCCATGCTGCTCCTGGCCAGGATGTAGAGAGGACCAGGAAAGCTTTAAGGAACTGTGCTCAGGCTTGGTGGACAGCCAGCAAAGTAACAGGGACCTCCGTTCCACAACTACAGGAACTGCTACCAGCCAACACCCTGATGGAGCTCGGAGGTGGCCAGAGCACAAAGGGACCAACACCTTGGTTTTGGTCTGTGAGACCTGGAGCAGAGAAACCGTTGCAGCCAATCTAGGCCTCTGACCTGGGGATCTCCGGATTGTACAGCTTCAAGCCCTGTGTTGTGCCGACTTGGTAGGGCAGCAATAGATAACCGATCCAGAGACAGCCCAGCACCCCCAGGATGAACCAAAGTGGCATCCTGCTTCAGTATCTGGGGCTCAAAAGCCATCATGCTACCATACTCCTCAACCAAGAGGCTGCAGACCTTAAAACACTACTGGGGAGCTCAGACTTCATAGAATTAAAACTCATACAGAAATATTCTGTTTGCAGAGCCAAGCCCACATGACTGACACGAAAACTTTGGGATCATCACAGCGGAGGAATTAGAGCTCAGCTTTTGTGGTTTTAGGACGATTCTAAATAAAGCTGCAGCTTAGACTCTGGAGAGATGTTGAAGCAGCCTCTTACTGACTGGATCAATCCTCACAGTGTCCCTGTGTTTTTCTAAATGATGTATTGGACTTCTCCACAGGGCCAGATGTGGATGTAGACTTTTATTCTATATTATAGAGATTATAGAGAACTCTCGGTACAAAAGGGTTCACTCTGGATTTCATTAGGGAACAAATGAGCTGGGGCCAGTCCTGGGGCTTCAGTGGGAATCCAGGCTCAGAGCACAGCTCTCTCCTTCTCTTTTCCAGGTCAGAAACATCAGCACTGCTGGAGACGGCCGGGTCTCCTGTCTACCCCCTACTGGCCCTCCAGGCTGCCCTTGGAGTTCAGCTGGTCCCCAGCTGTCCCTGCTTCCTGCCTCCCTGGCAGCCACATCCCTGGTCCACCTCCGCCGGGCGGGCGAGGACCAGGACAGACAGTGGCTCCTCCTTTTGGATCCTCATCCCTGTGGCTTTCTGTTCTTCCGGTAAGGACCCGGAATTTCCAGTTGGGGAGTGGATTAATTTTGTGAAGCCATTTCCCCTGATTTGGCAACTTGTTTTCCTGTCCCCCACAGCGATTCCTCCGGCTCTCATTCGTAGCCTGGTCAAGAGGCATCTTCTGTTCTCTTGGGCATGACTGTGAATCGCAGGGGGAAGGGACTGGTATTCTTTATTTCTACCTCAGCGTTCATCTGACTCCCCTGATCTGAATAATAAACAGTGAGTGCTCTACAGGGAGGCACTTTAGTTGTACTGATTCTAAATTTATTGCCTTTTCAATTTTATAGTATTCTTTTTGCTCAATGTATAATGCATAGTTTCATTTTTGGCAGTCTGAATGTCTACCAGGACACGGGTCCAGAAACCCAGCCCTGGTGGTGATCGATAAACAAGAAGAGCTTTTTGCCAGAGTCATTAGTCTCCCCGTTTTCTTCTTTCTCAGCAACATGCTCTTTAAAGAAAGGCAGCGAGTGAAAACCATTAACTAATGCAAGACCTGCGAGTGTTATTGCCAGTCTATTTACTCCTCTGTTGAAAACTTTTGGTTTTAATCAAACCTTTCAAAACTTCTTTTTTTTTTTCTTTTACATGGATCAATACCTTCGTACACGCAGTGGGGTAGACCCTTTCTGATAGCTACATTAAAAGTTTCTAAGGAATCATTTGTTTATTGATGCTACAGTCCAACAGCTGAACAGAATTTGGTGGACTGTAATTTTGGTTGCACTAAAACGTGAATTTTGCTTCCCACAGTGCTTAAAGAGTTTTTGCGAGAATTTCGTTCATATGTCTTCTCTTGACATTTAATACAGTGCTTCTCTGTTTTAGTTTGGATGTCCCAGGGGATGTTGATATTTGGATTCTGATTTGGCAGGTTGAGGATAAGATTAGAATTCTGCATTCCTGATGCTCTGGAAGAAAGACCCCACTCTTGCTCTGATCAGTGTCTAATTCATGGGTTGGGAACACCAAGCCGACTCCGGGGTCATATGGTTCTCTTCTGGTTCTGCTAGTCAGTGGCAGGGTGACTTTATGTGAATCATTTAAATTTCCTAAGTCTTAGTTTATTCATATATAATATTATCATTAATTTTTTTTAGCTAGAATAAGATGGAATTATGTACATAAAACACTTTGTTGCAAGCCTAGTCGCTAGGAAACACTCAATAAAAGACAGTTACCATAATTTATGTTCTTGCTCTGTCTTCCAATTGTGCACACCTATTCGAGCTTCCTATTTATCTGCTCAAAATAGCACCAACCAGGAAACTATCCAGGGCTTGTGTACCAGGCATTCTTGTAACAGTGAGAAGGACGCCATTAGTATCTGCTCCCAAGATAGTGCTGGGCAGCAGAAGTCTGCACAGGGGGACGAGAGCTATGGACGGAATGCTCATCTCCAACCACTGAACCCGCCTGCTGAAATCCACAGCCCAATGTGGCTGGAGAGGAGGCCTGCAGGCAGGGATGAGATCATGAGGGTGCGAACACATCGGATTAGTGCCCTTTCAAAGAGGTGGCAGAGAGCCCGTTCCTGTCTCTGACCATGCGAAGTTCAGCAGAATCACCGACTGCTCTCTGTGACTAGAAAACGAGCCCTCCCACACCAAATGAACTGGCATCTCAGCCTCACGGCTTCCAAAACTGTGAGAAAAAAGCTCTGCTGCTCATGAGCACCCTGTTCCTGCTGCAAGCTGAGTAGCCTTTAACCAAAGTGCTTGGGACCAGAAGTGTTTTAATATCAGATTGTGTTTTTACTTGGGAATATTTGTTTATACATAATAATAAGATAACTTAGAGATCAGACTCAAGTCTAAAATGAAGACTTTATTGATGCCTGAAGTTTATTGATGTTTTATATATGCTTCATCTAAGTAGCCTTAAGGCATTTTGATGTTGCTAGTGTGCCTGAGTTTTGCCCACACGGGGTCAGGTGTGAAATATTGCTCTCATAGTGTCACTTCAGATCTCAAGATGTCACAGTGCAGGCATTTCAGATTTTGAATTTTGGGTACGGGTTCCCAACCTCTGATCATTTCATAGGCAATCTGAACTCACTGTGGCTCACTGGCATCTTTCCATGCCTAAAGCAAGTGGCCTGAGCTGGCTGGGCCATTAAGAAAGTGTCGAGAACAAATGATGTCAGTACAGATATGGGGATGACAGGTATGTCTAGAGACTCCTGTGCTCCAGGATGCTATTTAAGAATAGGTGTGCTTTCGGGGAACTTTACACGTGAGGGCACTGTGAGAGTTCGGACTGGTTCAGCGCTGTTTATACAAATATTGCCTTTCAGGGCATGTGCCACTGCCCCCCTGATGTGTCATTTAATCTACCACACTTGTATGGCTCTTGATAATTAATAAAGCATTTAAAGAACTTACTTTTATTTCATCTGCATACTTGCTTGCCCTGGGGGAGAAAGGCCCCATTTTTCTTTCTATGGTTGAGTATAATGAGGTGTAGAGGGCCCTGGAAACCTGCCTATTCTGGTAAGTGGTGGAGCCTCTGCCAACAGGTCCAAAGTATTCCCACTGCCTATACCACTTACAGAATTCAAAACATAATTTGGATGCTCATAATTCACAGCAGATTAGACTCCATTGGAATATTCTTCTCTATGACTATGGTGGTGTGGAGAGGATTATGTTCTCTAAACACTTCATACAGATCGAATATTCTTTATCCAAAAAGCCTAGGATCAGTATTTCAGATTTCTGAATTTTGGGATTTTGGAATATTTGCATATTCTTTACCAATTGAGTATGCTTAATTGGAAAATCCGAAATCTGAAATGCTACAAAATCTGAAACAGTTTGAGCATCATAACACCACTCAAAGAGTTTTGGGTTCCAGATCATTTTGAGTTTTGGATTTTTCAATTAGGGATGCACACAAGAAACTCTTACTTTTTTTTTTTGAGGGGGTACTGGGGATTGAACTCAGGGACACTCGACCACTGAGCCACATCCCCAGGCCTATTTTGTATTTTATTTAGAGACAGAGGCTCACTGGATTGCTTAGTGCCTCGCTTTTGCTAAGGCTGGCTTTGAACTCAGGATCCTCCTGCCTCAGCCTTCCAAACCACTGGGATTACAGGGGTGCACCACCACACCTGGCAAAACTCTTTTTTTTCTCAAAAGAAGAGGGAAAAAATGCAAGAAGGAAGCTGAGCTGAAAGTCAGAGAATATCATGGACATTTTGGTCTTGGCCAGTTGTACCATTGTAGCAGATCAAAATCCTCAAATTATCAAAACACAGAACTTTTGTTTTATTTTCAATGTAGGCTGAAAAAAGGATAGCAGAGACATACAGAGAGCTGAGGGTTGGTCAAATCCATCATAATACAAAGGTATTTTCTTGCTTTTTTTTTTCCTGCCTTGCCACATTTGTTTCCCATCATCACTTCATAGAAAAAGAGAAATTCAGATTTGCAGGGATCACCATGCAGTTGGTTCATTTTCTGTAAATCAACGGCAGTGGCAGAGTGGTAGAGTGGTCAGTTGAAGATGTCCATGAGAAACTGCTCCTAATCCCAGGTCCATTTATCATTCCTTTTATGGGAGTCTACGCCCCTCCTGCCTGCCCGGCTTTCGTTCTGCATTTCAGAATGAAAGTATGAAGGAGCCATGGGTTTGCTAGCGCCCTCCGTGGTGGAATGTGGTCAGTGGGCTGAGCTGCCTCAGGAGTTGGCTCTTGTTTCTGTTTCTTGTTTGTTATTCAAGACTTCTTTGCCCTGTTTCTCCTGACATTGCATTTTGGTAGCAAATATGGATATGTCCTTCAGCTGGACAAATTTCAGGATTTTATTTGGTGCTCCCTGGGTGGTGGTCAAATCATGTGACCCAAACTATCCAATTAGACTTTTTCACTGAGACTGATAGAAGCACCGTGGAAGAGGCTGAGCAGCAAACGTGAAGAACCTGCCATGTGGGGCGTGTTGGAGGCAGAGCAGCCCTAGGAACCCCTTCCTCCTCTTGCAAGAGGAGCTCTCTGTGGCTTCGGTTGTTGGAGCTGCATGTCAGTTGGGACTCTTAGTTGCTAATGTATTGCCAATGGGACTGAGACAGCCATCGCGGTATTTGATTTTTAAAAGTTTTGTCAAAGGCTCCAAGCACTTTTTATAGTCTAAGCTGCATTCAAAATAACTATCTTCTTTGGGGCTGGGGTTGTGGCTCAGTGGTAGAGCGCTCGCCTACACATGCAAAGCCCTGGGTTCGATCCTCAGTACCACATAACCATAAATAAAATAAAAGTACTGTGTCTAACTACAACTAAAAAATAAATATTTCTTTAAAAAAATAAAATAACTATCTTTTCCCCAAGTGGATACATAATTCACTACGTCATCTTTGATTATCCAATAACTGTCATGCTTTTCTCTGTCAAATATGTTCTCCTGTCGGACCAGCACCGTCCACGGTACCACACCCCATGCTGTACTCAGAATTATACTTTTAGTGGGGAAAAATGAGGCCCCCCGGGGAATAAATAAATTTGAGTGAACAAAACATGTAAGGAAGGATTTGGAATCCAAGGTGTATTGAGAAGACTCCACGTTGCCTGGGCAGTGACAGGTGAAGATCCTTTGTATAGAGTAAAATCAGGGATACCTATAGGGGGTGGAAAAAGTTTGTTGAGGGAGCCAGGAGTCATTGAAAATAAGCTGATCAGTAATCAAAGGGCCCATCAATTAACTCGATTTCTTCTTTGTTTGCCCCTCAAGCCATGGCGTTGACATATGAGGCAGGTACCCATCTTGCTTCTCATTTATTTTGGATCCCAGGTTGTTTGAGTGTCATTCACTCAGCCTGAACAAAGACTGGCCAGGAAGTCTTCATGGTAGGTTTTGCCCCTCTTTATGCTAGATATTGAGAAGTCTATATTCATATTGCCCAGGTAAGATCGTCTATAGATGGCACTTCAAGTTTGCAAGACTAGACCTTAAACACCATGAACCGTATCATTCCTGTACTGTCACTT